ACTGGGACGAAAAGCGTGAGTAAAACGGAGAGCAAAAAGCCTGACCGAGAGGAGAGAGAGAGAGCAGCTCCGCCTCCGATACTGAGGCCAGAGCCACACCCAGACACTCCACACCCCACAACATACACTGTAGCGCGGCTAAAAGCTAGTAAAAGCCAAACAAACTTAAATTATGATCTTTATTTGCGTTCCTAGTGAAGCAGTGTGTTCCTGTGATTACCTTTAACTTGCCGTTTAACTCGCTTTTGCTACAGATGGAATTTCTTGTATAGTCTTACACCGACTGTGTGAGGACTTGTTGCCACATGTAGCCACACCTGTAATTACGCAATTGGTTATCAGTGCTTTGTTTCATGAGTCACAGTCAGCCTAGACATGAGTGCGTTTATCATGACGATTACCTGTAAGTGTATTGTATTTTTTTCTTTTTTCTCTTTATTTCCCCAGAACCTCCAGGTCATGAGCCTGCAATGTGGACTATGAGTCAACGACAGCATTACAACCTGTATGATCTTGTTCAGTGCCACTGTAATTCAAAATAAAGTTTCCCCACTTGGCCACAGAAATTATGGTAAAGCTTTAATGCTTGACTTATTTTGCTGGTTTCCAAGAAATCATGTATGATAATTTTAAAGGGCTCATAATCTACATTTTTTGTTGCTCAACCTATAAGACGTGTGTAGTTTTATGTACAAAAACAGTCATAATGATATAATAACCCTGCAGTTTGCATATCAGGATGGCATTGGAGTGGATGATGTGGTTACCTACCCGGTGGACAGAACATACTCACACATGGACGCATCAGGCAGCACTGTGAGGATCATGTTCTTTGGTTTCTCCAGTGCATTTAACACAATACAAACTGCTGTTAGGGGAGAAGCTTCGGCTGATGCAGGTGGATGAATCTACCGTCTCATGGACAATGGACCTCAGTATGTTGACTACAGGGCTGTGTCTCTGACATGGCGGTGTGCAGTGTTGGGGCACCGCAGGGGACTGTATTAGCCCAATTCCTGTTCAACTCTGACTTGAGGTACAACACAGAGTTATGTCATCCGCAAAAAGTCTCTGATGAAACGGCACATGTGGGGTACATCATACCAGTCTGGGGCAACAGCATTAACAAAGTGCTCTGAACAAATTGAACCAACTTATTAGGAAGGCTGGCTCTGTTGTAGGAGTCAAGTTGGACTTTCTGGAGGTTGTGGCAGAACAAAGGACGCTCAACAAGCTGTTAGCCATCTTGGACAACACTTCACGCCCCCTGCATGCTACACTGGGAAAACAGAGAAGCACATTCAGTGGCAGACTGTTACAGCTGTGCTGTGTTAAAGAGTTCCATGTGAGATCTTTCTTACCCGTTGCTATAAGAGCAATGAGTCTCCTTGCTGCAGAGATGGTACTGACCTCCTGCTTTCTAAACTACACTGAATCACATCACTATATTCAGACTATATTGTTAATACACACTGTGCAATATCATAATCTGCTACTGTAATGACACTTTCACAACACACTTTAGACTGTAAATACTGCTGCTACGCTTAGTGGCAGCTAAACTGCTGTGAGCTGCGTAGGTAGATATACAGGACAGTGCAGAAGTTTTAAGCACGTGAGAAATATATATTTTAAAAGCATTTTTTTGGGTGGAAGGTGTTTATTTGCTCAGAAAAGCAATACTGTTAATATAAATACTATAGCGTCAGTGTAAAGAAGATTCAGAAACCATTGTGTGTATGGGCAAATGCTATTTTATTTTGAACAAGCACTTCAACAGGCAGCAAGAAATACCCAGCTCAGCACTCCCCCGACGTGAAACACAGGGAAGGGGTAAGGCAGAAGGAGGCAATGCACTTAACTTGTTACACTTCAAAGCCCACCCTCCTTGGACATAATTATGCCAACTGATGCAGCTATACACTAACCACAACAAATGTCTCTTTTTATGCCGGGATTGTGGCACCTCCTGAGAGTCACTTTGCATGGCCACACCCCTATAGTTCTTCTCAGCAGTGTGACTCATGGCGGAGGCCACAATACAAATAATATTAGTACAATCAGTAGGGATTTTATCTGTGTTTAATTTCCTAACCATTTCTTGTGGCAGCCTGGTATTAACTGTAGTTACCATGCTTTGAATAATTAGACCTTAATAGAGAGAGAGAGAGAAAGAGAGAGAGAGAAAAAGAGGAAGAATGCATGCATGTGTGAGGGCCAGAAATCTCTGTAAAAAGACAAATCAGTGCTACTTGAAAACAATAATCATATTAAGTTGAACATTTAAGCCGGGTGTTTTAATATTTCAAGTTCACTAAGCGTGTAACAGTAATGTAAGAGAATGTTCAGAGGACTTTAAGAATGGCATTATTGAATATTGAAAGAGCATTAATGTTTTTTTTTTGCTTTCTGTTACAGTAGTAAACTCGGCTGAGCCCCAGATCTTACCATGTCCCGCCAGTGTGTCTTCCCATTTGTACCACTATAGAGTGGAGATGGAAAAGGGTTTGCTTGTAAATTTCCACCAGGTGCATGATGGGAAATAATCTTAAAAATCTAGGTTATGCAAATAGCGACCCTGCAAGATCCCCAGTCTTTACAAAATCATAGTCTGTGACTAAAAACTCTGTGGCATTGTCTTTCAAAGTCTTTTCAAAGTCTTCTGGTGTGTGGTTAGCATTACTTGGGTGCCTAAGATTTTGCACAGTACTGTAGGTAAATGTGTTGTTTTTCAGTGACATCACAGAAACAGCTACTTCAAAATAGGCTTAATTTTCATGTATGGACTGTATGGACTGGGAGGTGAATAGTATGATTTTACATTTTAACAGTGTTTACATGCTACATCAAAAATGAGTGAGGAAAGTGAGGAAATTTTGATTTCCATGATATGGGCCCTTTAAATTACAAGCCCTGGGACAGCACTCATTCAATTTCTACCCCCTTTGTACAAACAATTGTATTACTATATATGATCTAAAGGATTTCCTTTATCATTCACATTGCCCTAATGTTAGTCAGCACACTGAATGCTGTCCTTGGAGGTAGTGAGGGGCAAAGGGCGTGGTTTGTGTGTGGCAAAAGACAACATAGGAAAAAGTCGCCATCACCTGGTCAAAGAAAGTGAAAACAGACTTGTACAGGAGGAAGAAGACCAAATTTGGTTAGTGCTAATGTCATAAATGTGAAAGCACCAAAATCATTTATTACAATTAAACACATACTTGGCCTGTAAACATGGAAACTAAATGACACTTTGTGAAGTGAATGACACTTTTTGAGGTCAGCAATAAGCAGGCTGAGAAAGTCAGCACACTCGAATAATGTAGAGCCAGAAACAGTCATACAGTATTGTACAACTTTGGTATACAGGCCTAATGTCCAGTGAAGCTGTAGTTCTTTGCAGTCGAAACAAAATGAAACATCTATACAATGAGGATTTTACTTTTACATTGGTATGAGGGTCAGAGGTCAACATTCCCCGGCAAGATTCCACAATTAGCTTTTAGGAGCCAAAATAGCACAGCATGTGCTTTAGCCGGGTCTCTTTTTTGCATCAGCGTCATGCTACATTTAGCCGCACAAATACTTAGACTGGCCTTTCACCCCCTCAACAAGAAACATGTGATGCAGAGCTGTTGTTCTTCAAACCTGCGGTAATAATACTTTCAAATGCATTTAATGGCGCAAAGAATTTGGTCACATATTCACTTCAAGCATATTACTGAAATAAAGTAACTTGTTTCAATGCAGTGTTCCTTAAAAGTGGAGGCATAATTCTTCTGTACTTTTCTTTCACAGAAACTTGTGAATTGAATATTTAGGAAGTATCTGCATAGAAAAACCCTGGAGATACTTATTATATACGGAGATGATTACAATATTTAGAATGCTCAGAGCACATAAGCTGATTTCTGATCCTGAGAAAATAACACAAAGCCAGGGATAAATATGCACAAAGTGTGCTGCATATGAATTGATTTGTGCTGCACATGATGATTTGCATTCAGGAGGGATTATGGTGGCAGTTACTGGGTGCCAGATCTCAAAAACTCTTCCACAGAAATACTATACTATAACTATACACATAATATTCAAGGCACTTAGCATACAATAGTATGAAGTAAAGCTCCACCTCTTTTACCAATGTAGGCCACAGGTAACAAAACTGGGTGGCTCTTTACCATTGGTTGATGCAAAAGACATTGGAAATACTTGAATATTTGTTAACATAAGAGAGCATGCTTTACTTGAAGACTTTGCAATAATTAAAGTGCCCATATTACAGAAGAAAAAACAAGATTTCCTCACTTTTTTTCTAAATAAAAGAGTTTGATGTCATGTGTTAAAGGGCAGTTCCACCGATTTTCCAACATTTCTGCATAACGCTCTGTGTTAAAATGTAAACAAACTTATTCTAGAGAAACTGTGTTAACTGTGTTACAATTGCTCACAGAAGGGGTGATAGGAACCAGACGTCCAAAGCTACACAAAAGTTACATCACAGAAGACTGTTACACTAAATGGTTACGAATTTGCTTTCTGATGTTTGAGACATTGTTTTATGGTAGTTTTACCGTAAGGTTTTGGTCTAAAATATATTTTAAAATCAATTAATGGCCTCTTTTTTCAAAATTTTTTTGTGTATCAGTTAAATCAGTACACATATCCACCTATTCGGCCTACAGCAGTGCAGCCCCACCAGTTCACACTGAATTAAGGAGTGTTTGGCTGCACTGCACTTAATTTAATATTTTGAGTGCAATACAGCACAGCCAATCAGAACAGAGGTCATTTACATATAGCAGCAAAGGTACATAAACAAAAACAGTGTTTAAGTCTAAGAATATCGATAGGAAAGAGAGATAGAAAACAGCAAATGGCCCTTTAAAACGCTCTATTCTGTTATCTTCATTACCAAACATGGACGCTTGGTTTCACTTGTCAGTGAGAGGGCGCCCTCTTGTGGACTACGAATCCCAGAATTCTGTGCTTCAGCGGGCTGTTGAGCCAGTCCGCTAAAGGCGGCGTGGAAAAAGTTCCCTCAGGCAAGAAGCTCAGAAAAGGACAGAAAGTGGGACGGCGTGGAAAGACAGCACAAGCCGATGTTAAAGTAAGCTTTCTCTATTTTAAAATCCAATGTTAATCGAATACCACGCGTTTCGTATGTGTAAAACGCTTAAAATACTTAGACGATGTGGTCTCTGTCAACAAGCGGCACAAGAGGGGCTTGACAGGGTGGGACAGTGTATTTTGGTCGGCTTTTATCCAGCATCTAACCGAGGACCAGCGATTAATGTGACAATATCACAGCGAATGTTTAGCACTAGCAAAACTTTCTCAGAATTGCAGCATTCCGGATAAGAAAATGTCCTAATAGGATTTTATTTGCTAAGTTTTCTTTGTAGACAAGACTGTTTTACTTCCTTGCTTCCAAATAAGGTCCAGTTGAGTCATCGGGAGTTTGGTGTGAATATGAGAGGTTCATTGTTTCCAGTGCTTCCGTGCTTTTTGCGTCTCAAGAAGATAGAATAAGTTGTGTGACGGATAACATCAATTCATATGCCATGATAGCAATATATCACTGAGATTATGTTCACTTCACTCCAGTTTGTGAGTAGTGCATTATCAATGATATATTCATTCACTCTTTGAATGGACATGACCACCTGCACTTTGATGCATCAGTTTGTATTTTGAGATGAATAGATTAGTTGTAATAGCTTATTTTCTGGTTTTACTGACAGTTATCAGTATCAAGGAAATAATAAAAGTTAAATGGATGGTTTCCCAGGCTCAGATTAAGCACAGCTTTGCTGGGATTTTAACTGGTGAGTATACATACTTGAAAATGGTGATGGATTCTTCAGTAAAGATAGCAGTTCTGTATAGAACCATGAACACTCAAAGAACCCTTTGCGTGATCAAAGGGTTCTTTGCATCGTAAAAGCATTCTTCAGCTTGATGGCGAATGTGCTGTATATGGTTCTACATAGAACCTTTTTGAAAAACATATAGCTCCAAAAAGGGTTCTTCTATTGTTAGAAGCTTCTTATAACAATAGAAGAACCCTTTTGGTTCTATATAGAACCATTTCCACAACTAAAAACCATTGCAGAACCATTAACCATTAAACCTTTTCAGATTTGCCTTCAGATTGCTTGGATTGGACTGGGTCCTGAACATTTGCTTCAGTGGTTTCAATGGCTACGGTTTCCTTATTATAAAAGCTTTTAAAACTGTTCACATGGGATTCTTCACTGTTAAAACTAAAACATAACTTAGGATCATGTTCAGTAGTCTTGATATTGGTTAATAAAAGTTTAGCACTGTTGAAGAGCCGCTTGTGTGGGCGTACGTACCAAAAAGTACGTATCAAAAAATTCTGTTTTCTAACCTCTCTCCATCCCTTACAGTTAATCATGCTATTTTTCTTACTGTGCTGTTAAACTGGTATATGTAAATCCTGTATCGTATCTCATTCAAAATGAGTCTGGGCTGAAACACGCCTTATAGCTTCTGCATGAGCGGCCAGGGCTAAACTGCTGTAGGTTGGATAGGTGGATATATGTAGATTAGATGACAATGACATCACAAAACAGTTTATTCAAAATAGACTGCTTTTACAGATTAGTTTCCATAAATGGACTATGTAGACTGGGATGGGAACGGTGCATGTTGAAAGCTTGACAGTATTTATATATAAACTCTTATATATCAAACTCTATTAATAAAAGAAAATTCATCTTCCTATAATATGGGCGCTTTAAGGACTTTACGTGTTTTTTTTAGACAGTATTCTAAGTACTGCTTTTGTACTGTGTAACTCTGATGTTATTGTGTTTAAACTGAGCTTTTATAATAAATGTCGGCTTTTCAAAAAGCCACTGAATCTTGCTGTTTAGATGAAACTCTTCTGATCTGCTTTTCAGAAAATGTGTATTTTTATGGGTGCAAATACATACTTTGCATACAAATGCATACAGATTACTACCACTCTTGTCTTAGTCATTTATCAACTTGATCTTACAAGAGAATCACAAGAGAAATGGTTTCAAATTATTATAGAAACAGCTTTACAATAAAAAACAATATTTTGGCATAAATACCACACATTTTTGGCACCTCTGCGCTTCATTTACTTTGCACACCCTCCCTTTGCCATAATAAGTTCTCTCTTCTAATAAAGCATATGTAAAGAAAGCTAAGACCATTCCTTTCTATAAGATGTTTCCTGATTCTACATAATTCATGGTATTCTGGGTTCTCTTCTTCAGCTTGCCCCACAGGGTTCAGTGGGCTTTGGGTCAAGAGACAGAAATGGCCTCTGCAAAGGCTTGGTTCTGTGGTTGGTAAACCAATTTATTTGTGGATTATGTGGAATCCTGTGAATTATTGAAGATTCAACCATGGCCCATGAGTCTATCATGCTTATTCTAATAAGATCCACAACATCACTGATCCACCTCCATACTTTACAGTGGGGGTTCTTTTTGACTTTTTCTGGCCAAACCCTCTTCTTGTGTTTTTTGCAACTCTATTTTTGTCTGTTTTTGACCCTCAAACTCTGTAATATTTAGTGAACAGAAGTTTATGTTTGTGGTTTAATGACAGCATATGCTTTCTTCTTATAAGCCTTCCATATAGTTTGTTGGTGTGGAGGTGGCATCTAATTGTAGTTTTGGAGACTTGGTGACCCCACCAGCTCCTGCAGTTGTGCAGTTATGATCCTTGGAGAAAGTTTTGCTTGAGAACCATCCTCCTCACTGTGTGTCGGGGTAGAATACACTTGCATCCTCCTCAAGGCCACTCTAATTGTTTCAAACTTTTTGAAGAACCATCTCACCATGCAAAGAACCATTTAAGCATGAAATGGTTCTATATAGAATTCATAGTTCTGAATAGAACCATTGCTTTTACTAAAGAACCCTTAAAGAACAATATTTTTTAACGTCTAGTTGTTGAGTACTGAAATTTCTATTGTCAAGAGTGATGCTATTTTTATAACCATTGTGGAGGATCCTGTCTTACGTCCGTGAAGGAACAAATGACTTTACAAAAATAGCTTGAAACATAGCTTCACAACCTTTTATCAACAACCCTTTTTCCCCATTTGGTTTACATGTTTTCTGCAATGGCTATACAAATGTGTTTATATATCCTCAGATCTTGTCCATGTTGCTTGATGACTAAGGATGTTTAGCCTGCATGTCACCTCATATATTCACTGCGGTGGAACAAAAAGAGACCACAAAAGAATAAATGTGCAAAAATCACAGAGCGCCTTCTGTTTATTTAATTTTCCAGTCAAAACAGCGATTCAGTAGTTGTTCATTTTCAGACGATATTTCTAATGACATTAGGTCAGGGGTATCAAACGCAACCACTAAGAGGGCAATATTAAAAAGGTCCATATTTAAAAGCTAGGTCTTTTAAACGTACCTGTGTGCTTGATCTCAACACCTGAAATCTTTTCTTTCATTCATTAATTCTTCATCAGTTTCTGAGCTGCTGAGTGTTTATAGTGTTTATGTTGGTTGAACTGCAGCTGAAATGCAGCTGGTGTGTTTGGTGATATGATGTTTGCAATTGTGTAGAAAACTGCTGTCCCATAGATTGTTGTTGGGAGTGGTGTGTCAGTGCAAATTACGCCGCAGTCCTTGCTGGGGATTGTAGTGCTGTCGATTGTGAAATGGACAAATATTAATAAAAAATCTAAACAATTTCGAGGGCCGGACCAGATTGTGCCACAGGCCTGATCTGGCCTGCAGGCCTTGTGTTTGACACATGGGTATTAGATGGACAATAATCCACTTGCATAACGAAGGCTAAAGTCAAAGGAAAATAAGTGGAAAAACAAGAGTTTCCAAAAATGAGTAAAAGAAGACAGAGAAAATATTACTTCTAACAACCATGCAAGACCTGGTAGACAACCAAAACTGTCACCATCAGATAAACAGTACTTAGGTTTTCATATGTGAGAGACAGAAAATTTAGCTCCACTCTTGCTCTAGATCTGAAAAATCTACAGGTGTTTCTGTCTATTCTTCCACTGTGAGAAGACAGCTCAACACTGTGGGTCTGAAAGGATGTGTAGCTGGCAAGAAGCTGCTACTGAGAAAGGGAAATAGACAAAAAGGAAAAGCATTTGCAAATGGAAAAAAAGCTGCTGGTGTTCTCAGAACAATGGACTGACTAGCCCAGATTACAGACCTCAACATCATTGAATGCGTTTGGGATTACTTGGATTGTCAGAAGCCAAAAATGCAACCAACTTCTAAGACTGAATTTTGGAGGTGTGGAAATATGTCTCAGATCTACAGATTTCTTTGTAAAACTGAGAGCACCCTCCCTGAAAAAAATGGAAGCTGTAACAAAGGCAAAGGGTGGATTTCTGTTAACTTTGTTTCTGTTTTTTCCTGATGCTGAAAAATGAAAAATGAAATGGCCATTTTGGTTGGAAATTAAATAAATGAAGGGTGGTCCCTGAATTTGCTCAATGCTGGTGTTTTTATTTGAATAATTTCATCTCATGTTTAGATTGCTCTTTTTCATGTAAGATTGAGGGGGAAAACATAGATAGCTGTTATTACTAACTACTTATGCAATAATGGAACTATAGTAATGTATACATTTTTAAAAAACATATTTTTAGATGCCCTACTTTGAATACTAAACCCATAAGACCATGTCTCTGGAGAAACCTTTTCACCCTCACTTTCAACTGGACCAAATAAAACTGGATTCTCCACAGTTGCTTCATTTGTCATCCATAAACTACCACAGACCTCACAGCACTTTTAAAGCAGTTCACATGAGTTTCTTTGTTGTTGACACTAAAGCGTAATACAGGATTTAGCAGTGTTAAGGACCTTACGTGCTTGCAGACTGCTATTCAAAATACTGTTTTAGTGAATGCCCTGGGTGTTATTGTATTTAAATCGGGCTTTTATATTCAGTGTGAGCTAATCTCAGTACGTGCAAAAGGCACGTACGTGTAGAGGCACTAAATCTTGCTTTTTAGATAAACTCTTTTTAATGATCTTGTTTAACCACAATCACATGGCTACTCAATTCCAGTTTGTTGAACTCCATCAGTTGTCTCTGGTCTTTCAGGAACGTGACCTCTACTATTAGGCTGAACGTATCCAGTATATATCTTTAAAGTGGCAGACATACTCATGTTGAAACATTTCAGAAAGACTTGGTACGTGTGAACACATGCTGTGCTTCAACATGAATTAGAGGAGATTATGTGCTTTTCAGGCCTTTCCGCACCTTTGTTTAGTTTGCTCAGTGGTTGGTCCTGCGCTTGTGAAAAGAGCCCCGGCCTGCAAATGCAAAATCAAATAACCCCCTGTTTTGCATCTGCGTCTAAGTTGTTTGCAGAGATTCTTTTAGTAGAAAACCGATTGACACTTTAAGGCGACAATAAGTTGATTGGTTTAGTTGGTTGGTTACCAGCAGTGTGATAACTCACAATACACTCTTTAAACTAATGGTGTCAAATGAGGTTTGGAACAATGCCATAGAAGGTGTACAGAGCATTTTTCTTATTGTCTGATAATTTAAAGTGCTCCCATACGTGTGATTTCTTAGCCATCTTTGCTCTTTTAGCTTCAGTGGCCACGTGGAAAGCTGTGCAGTTTGTTTGCTCCGAGGTGGGGCTATATGGATGCCTGCCATTAATATATGATGCATGCAATTGAACCAGCAATTATTTATTTATTTGGAACATTTTCCTCATGTTAACATTAACTGTTCAAATACCAAACGAATATTCAGATATTCAAATTATTTTGGTTGGCCCTAGGTCTATACTGATTGTTTTTTCCTAGAACTACACATCTATGCCAAGAAACCTTTAGAAACCTTTATTTTTAAGACTGTAGAGTTGAGCTAATGTTTCCATGTGTTGTTTCAGTACTGAATAAAGTGATTGTGAGTTATCTAATATGTTGACTAAGTACGGTATTTGTTATTAACCTTTAGATTTCTGTTGATGAAATAAAGTGCAGAGATGGAGTCAACAGAATAAATAAAGAGTAGGGAACGGTACGCCGGTTCAATTTAATGGAGCTGATTAAATAGTGAGGAAAACCATGCCAGCAGCTGCATCGACATATGAGTGCTGACTCACAGTCTTTCTCTCTCTCTCTTTCTCCCTCCCCTCTTTAGGTCTTTCTCTCACCGTCTGGCCCTCGCCACCTCTCTCATACACTCCGTCCCTCCCCCCCACCTTGTTGCTCCTCCTATTTCCCCCCCCCTTCTATGTTACCTCCCTCTTGCCCTCTCCTCCCCTCCTCCCTCCCATTCACTAAACAGGAGGTGCTTTCACTGCTTGGGACACTAGAGAGAATGTAGCCAGGGAATGTGCAGAGGACACGACCGAAGCTATTGAACGTGACTTCTAGGCTGTCACCATCGGAGGAAAGACTTGCCCTTTAACCCAATGCGGGGGTCTTTCATTTGAGTAAGTAACCTCATAGAACATTTACACAAGCCGTGTATTTTAAACATTGGAAATCTGTGTAGGGTGCTGTTGCTGCAGTCTGGTTAGTTTTTCTACCCGCATTGGAGTCTACTTTGTGTTCATATTAGAGGGCAGAAACAGCTGTATCAGTTATTATATCAGCTTGCATAGAGCTTCATATGAAATCTCACTTATTGAATGATTGCCTGACAGCGAGTCCAGTTATGCTACGTGAGAAATGTGGGAGAATGTTTTGGTATTGGTATTTGACTTCTCTGTAGATACTTATTTGATTCATATCATAGCTGTCATCAAAAACCATTGAATCTTCAAAATAGTAACTTGAAAAAAAATGTATGTTAATGACAAGATTTAATTCTGACTAATTTTAGACTCTTTCTGTTGGTCCACTCATCATGAAATGTTCACGCAGTGTTCAGGGTTCAGCTCACGTTTTCAGATAGGACTAAAAAAACAAAAAAAAACAAAAGGATTTTAGGGGTTGACATTACAGTGATGATATGTTTGTGTGACACGGATAATAAGCAGTAAAATGTCCGATATTAGATATATCAAAGCTAAGTAGCATCTTCTACTGTGGACATGTGACCCATTTAACAGCCAAAAGTTGGCATGAGCACAAAGCATACACTACATACATATGACAATGCCTGATTCATCATAATGCAGGGTCATTGCAGTCATTATAGAAATGTCAAAATGTTCTTACATGGACATTGTTACTGATTACACATTTATTGCTGAAATTATTGTCAAAATCTCTTTGCTTTTGTGTTTGTATTGTGTACTGTGTTTAATCAGTGAAAGTTCATATTTACATTACAGTCATGGTTACTGTGGTTTCAAGCTTAGTTAGTAGAAGTTAGGAAGAATTTAAACTGCATTCACCCTGTCTGGAAATGGCTGCCCCTGTGGTGAGGAAGACATGGGAGCTTGTACAAGAACCCCCTATAAACATGTGTTAGCTTTAAATAGCACTACTGTTAATGTTTCCTACTTTTTATAACATTTTAGAAAACAGAAACACACAAATGATATGAAGACCTTCGTAATCTACAAATCAGTATTTTAAGGCACAGTCAGTGAGTGACATAAGGATCAGCTTGATCACATCAGCTTGAAAGTTGATGCTGTTTCCTATTTACCCACAGTGTGACAAGTAATAATTTAACTAGGCTCATTATTTGTTTCAAGGCGTTGGTGAAAGGGGCTAGGGTTTGATAGCTTCACAGTTTGTGCTCTCTGTCTCACTGTTCAGAGAGCAAGTGAAGAAAAGTAGTACATCCCAACTGAGTATGGTACAGTATGTGTAGTATGGCTATGACTATGACTATGTATAGTAGCATTGAAAAGTCTACACACACCTAATTGAACTTAACTGTACTATTTTACACATTTTATAATGAAAATGAAAGCATTACGAAATTGTTAACCAGATCCTACCTATGTAGCTTATATTACCCAGAGAAGACCATTCATTTTATTTCAGTGTCAGGAAAAAACGAAAAAGTATATATTTAACAAAACATTACACAGAAGCCCCAACTAAAGAACTAAAGACAACTAAATGAGTGTATATATATATATATATATATATATATATATATGTCTTTTTTTTTCAAAATAAAACGTGTCCAACCTTTGCTCCTTTATTACAGTTTTCTTTCTTTTCAGGAGACTTGCTTTCAGTTTTTCAGAGAAATTTGCAGGGATATTTTTCCGTGCTTCATGTTATGTTTCTCACCATCTTCAACTAATTCCATACACATTTGATGATGTTGAGGTCTGAGCTTTGTGGCTGTAGTGTTTCTTTGACTTTCACCTTTCTTATGAGAGTGGATATCTTATATGTAATATTTTCTAAAATATCTTCTAAAAAGTGAATAAATTGTACTTAATGGTGTTAACTAGAAATAAATGAAGAGTGGGCCCTGACATTTCCACAGTACCATGGGCCTTCATCATTACACCGTGACCTCTGCAGTTTATACTTTCATTGAGATTTTGTCTATGAAAAGCCTTTCGTCTTTAAGTGGGTTTATTATCTCACGTCTTCCATGCATCTCCTGACCTGTTGCACCTTGGCAGAGCTTGGTTGCTAGCTTGCAATGTTTCAAAGTGTATTTATAATAATGTTGGGAACTTTCGATAGCATCATTTGACAGGTATTTACTGGCAAACTGTGTTATGCAATATTAGTAACCTACTGTAAGGTGTTCCCACACCACTGAGGACTACAATTGTGAGGGACGGAAAACTTAACATTAAGCAAGGAGAGTGTCGGAACTCTTTGTGAGGTTATATTCAACATTACTTTGTTTAATTAGAGTTTAGCTATTTACTAGCCTTTACTTGTTTATAATATTAAATTTCACATTAATGTAATGGACTTGAATTTATTAACAGTGAGCAAGCAATTTACATGCTACAGCTGTGCGAATAATTTGATGAGGCTAAACCTTCCAAATCAGCCCTTGAGGGTACCACCCCAATGACATGAGGGCACCACCCCAGTGACCTTTTTTTGAGATTGTGGGCAGTGTGGTGGGTATCGTCAATTCTTAAAGAGTCCTGACCAGTGGCATGTTTCATTACAAAGAGAAGGTAATTAATCCTTTTTAATTGGATTTAGTGCAGTACAGTATGTGATATGTTGATTAAGAATGGTCATATTCATAGTTTTTGATCATATTTGTACCACTGTAATACACTGTACTGTTTCACTGTATACTGGCAGATGAAATGGAAGACGTGTATAAGGGAGAGGCAGCAGTTTGAGGTTAATGTGTAACCATGACTGTGGTTTGATGTGCTATGCTGATTTGGACTGAATCTCAAATAGCACCTTACTCCCTATGTAGTGCACTGTAATGTAATTCATGAAACAATGGCTTCAGCACCATAATAGTACACTGCAGGTCCAAAGGAGCTATGCACCATGTGGGTAGTGCATTACTTAGGGAATAGGGAACCATTTGAGATTCAGTCTTGGAGATGTTGAAACAATCTGTGAAAGGTGAAAGGAGGAGACCGCGTGTAATGACGTAATGTTCTTTACAGTAATTGTCACAAGTCAGTTGCCTAGATGGCAACATTGGCTGTTTTGATATGTTGTATTATGGTATTGCTCAAGGCAGTAAAATTAATTACTTTGCATAATTTTTCTTTGTGACCTGTGTGCTTCTTTTCCTTGGCTAGGCTAAATGCTAGGCCTGGGATTTTTTGGGAATTTGTTTCTGAGTTTTAGCAAGTATGTCAGGGTCCACTCTAAAATAAGGCCAAACAGAAGGTCCACAAAGAGAGTGACTTTGTTCACTGAAATGATTGTACCCTTATGATCCATTATGGGTGCAAAAACAGAGGATGTTATGGATATAGAGGCTAGTTTTTAGCATTAGCATATACCGAGATAAAGAGTACAGTGTGGTTACACTAATTATGATTCCAACACAGGATTGAAAAAAACTGACAAAAACCCTTTGGAACCTGTATAGGAAATTAACACCATATCACAGATTATGCCTCTTGGCCTCTTCGGAGAGGGTCTTATTTTCTGTCTTTCATAGAAACCACTATCAAAGAACAAAACTAGGCATCAAATCTGAAAATGTGTGTATTGTTACATCCTTAATATTAATTGTTTGGCACCTGAAGGACTCTAAAATGCTTTCCTTAAGGCCTTAAGGAAAGCTTGGCCTTAAGGGTGGCCAAGATTATGCTCGTTCACTCCAGCCAAGGCATACATGCTGTTCTCTACTATTAACCAGCACTTGTCTCTTCTTTAGTCCAAATTACTTGAGGACAGTAAAAATAAGAATGACTCCACTGTCTCAATACCTTATGTGAACTGTATTGTATGTGAATTCCCTAACTTGGCAAATGAAAGCACATGACAGAAGCTTCTGTTTTGGCTGCAGTGGTAACCCTGTCCAGACTATTTCTGACCTATCTAGGCCTGAAGCATGCATCTGAGGCATGTCCTCAAATCAGTTTGCATCACTTATATCACTTTATGACTTTTTATTTTAGATGGACAGTGCCACTGTTAACATGTGTACCTGTGTGAGTCATCACTTGTTCAGAGGTTACAGATATTTGTCTTTGGGGGAAACAGGAACTATTGTCAGAAGCTTCACAGATATTATTGGAAAAGGTACTTGGAAGCTTTTAATGAGATCACACCAGAATTGCTTTGTTTGAACTTAAAATAAAAAAGCTCATGATTCATTGTACGTGCCCTAGTTTGAAAGTATAATCCTATTCAGAAAAGCTAGGATAGAGTGTCTACTATGCTTTGTGTTTGGGCTTTTTTTGTGTAATTATTTGTCCTTGAACCCCTTTGGCAGTTCTTGCCTTATAATGCTAGAGAGAGCGTGCAGGATAGCATGTAGGCAGTGGGCACTGTTTGTTAGCCAACACTGTTGAGATAGTGGGCTGATAGGTAAAGGCTTATCTCTGTACTGTGCGACAGCACCTGAAGACATCCTCAGTGTTTATTGTAATCGAATACACCACAATTAGATACGAAACTACAGGTATCAATTACTACCAGCACTATAACAAAAACAAAAATTATTGCAGAATACTGTATCTGATAAAAAATTATAGTTAAGTCTAAGAATAATTATGAAATAGGTATAAAATAATAAGCAATACCAAATGAGAAGAAACGGAAATAATGTGAAATTAAAGTAAAAAATAGACTCAAAACATGAATAAAAACAATGAAAACATAGAGCTAAAATTAGAATTTAAAATAATGTGTGTTATTAAGGTGGGTTTTCTTCCACTGTTCGTTGGAATTTAACAGAAAGTTAAGTATTATGTTTTTAATGAAATCGTGAAATGAAATCCATACTATTCACTATTATTTGCGCAGAGTATACAAGAGGATGTTCCTTCGAGTGTCTGTAAGAGTTAATGAATGGATAACTGGTTAAGTGCAAAAAAAACAGCCAGAAAGGAAAAAAAAGGATTTC